ACTAATTCCTTTCCCAATGGAGAGAACACGACCTGGACACGCCAAGCTTTAATTCAGTGGCATAACAATGTTGGCATAACGGGATGTGACATTTATAATAAAAAAAAGATTTGCGTGGTAGGGGCTGACAGTCTCCTTTGGGCACAAAACCCCGGTTTGATGGTGATCGGAAAAGCAAGGGTGGTCTGGAGCAAGTCCTGTGCTGGCAGCCGTGCCAGCAGGGAGAGGGTCAGCACGGCGTGGGCGAGCCGGGGCGATTCGGGACCATCCCATGCCCCGGTGCCAGGATCCAAGTGGAAGCGAGCTAAAATGCAAACGGGCAGCTGAGCTGGGAAACGCCAGAGTTTGGGAGTGCTGGGAGGGCCCTGCCCTGCTCTCTCATGGCCTCCCTCCATACAGAAATAATTGGAGGGAGAGTTTCTCTTGGACCGGCTTTTTTCTCACATGCTTTTTGTTGGAAAGCTCAGAGCAGGATGAGCCCAAATGTTTCTGGGAGCCAGGGTAGGAGCGATCCTCTCCACTGGTGCTGGCTTTGGTGGAGAGAAGGACAAACCAAAGTGTGCACCTTCCATGGTCGAACAGATCCGTATCCAGCTGCAATTAGCATTTGATTCCTTTATTCCACGTTCGAGCCTCCGCTCTGCTTGCAGGCGGCTGGATTGCCATCCCGGTGGCTCTGCCCTTCCTGGGATGCTCCCCTGCGCTCCCAAGAGCCAATTCATAAATCCTGACCTCATTATAAAGATCACAGAAAGAGAGAATAACAAATCGGGGCTCCTGGCTGTGCCAGCTTTGAAGCTGCCTTCCGCCCATCAAGCTAGCGTGCCGTAAGCGAGCAGCACAGGAGGAGCCCTGTTTGTTTGGGGATTAACTTCCCCACTTGGCTAATTGTTGGTTAATCGTATCAGCGCGCTGCCGGGCCGGCACCTCGGCTGCCGCCCCACGGGACGCGGCCCCCAGCACCCGGATGAGTCCCATGGGGTCCCTGGGGTCCCCGGGGCCGGGCTGGAGCGCGCTCCTGGCCAGACGGCAGCAGCCCAGCCCCGTTCTGCTGCACAGCCCTGGGTCCCATCCGTCATCTGTTTGTCCTGGTACCCTGCCAGCGATTGTGCCGATTCCCACACCCACTTTCCATAACCCTCCGTCCTCGCCCGGGCGAATCGCTGGCGCGCTTGCCACCCATCCCTTTCCCCTCCTCTCCGATGGGATCAGACACGTTCTGGAGAGGGAGAAGAAAAGAAAGGAAGAAAAAAAAAAAAAAAAGATCAAGAGGAAAACAAAATGTGACTCACTGCCTTCTTAATTTATTTGTATTTATTTATTCCCCCCCGCCCTATGCTGCGACGTGCAGCAAGCAACACCAAGGGCTGGCCGCGATGTACCGGAGAGCTTCGGCACGGCTGGTGTCCAGCTTGGCAAAGGGGTGTCGGGAACGGGGCGGGGGAATTTTCTCCACTCTTTTGGCCAAGGAAAAGAGCACAGAGGGGAGCTCCTGGCACAGAAATTGTGTGGTACAGATTTTTAAGGCTGTCCAGGTCTCCGTGCGAGCATCCCACCAGCATCCCGTTCCGCAGCAGCACTCGGCACCGCACAGTACGGACCGGAGGGTGGAAATATCTAATTCCACCTCCTACACTGTGTCCTCGGCGGGGGAAAGAGAGAAAGAGAAGATAAAAGGCTGGGAAGCTCAAATGGTGTCATTAGGAACTATTAATGCTCTCATAAAAGGGCATTAATAAACACGGCAGCTCATCAGTGTCCATTAGCTCCGTTCGTGGCAGGGATCTTCGGGGGCCGCTGGCGTGCGATGCTCCCCTCGCCCTCGCTGGCGTTTCAGCAGAGGGGCAACGGGCTGGAGGGGGGGGTTTATTCCTCCTTGCAAGTCCTTCCCCCCGCCACTAACAAAAACCCGCTTCCCAGCTGCAGGTCCCCCTCTCTCCAGGGATGCAGCGGGACCCCGGGAAGGAAAGCTCGCAGGAGCAAGCGGGGGT